GTTTCCCCTTTGAATATTCCTTAAATTTTATAAATACCTTTGAGTATTTCGAAAGTCCCATCAAAACGGTAACAATATTAATAAAAAGGTAAATAAATGGAAATATAAATTGGAAGAATTATAACAAATTGAAATACTTGATGAATACACTGACAAATTCTATGAACTGCTTCATAAAGCAAATACAGATAATCATATTTATAATAATAATAGAGTTAGAATATATAAATATAGATTAAGATCAGAATTCAAAAAATAGATAAAAATAAATGCTAATAAAACTCTTGCAATATTTTTTTCAGAATCCTACCTTCAGATGAGATTTTTATTATATTTTAATTAACTAATTATTTTTGATTACATGAAAAATGAGAATTTTGAAATTCTTCCTTCTCACTCTGATAATTATATAATATATATCATTTATCTTAGAGTAATATAAATTTACAAGCTTTGTAATAATATAAAGAACTAATAAAATAACAAAATTACAATATATATAATATCAAGAATAATAAATATAATATAAAATTAATTTAAGTATTACAAATAAATTAGCAAAATATTGATATTATATTAAATAAATTGAATAAATTAATAATCAAAAATAAATAAATTAATAATTAAAAATTAAGAATTAATAAAATTATAATAACTAATAATTAATAAAAATAATATAATAAATTAATAAACTAATTAATAACTTATAATATTATCAAATATAAATAAAAGATACTTAAAAATAAATAATTAAACAAATAAATAAATATTTATAAATAGAAATTAATTAAACATTACTCAAAATCTGATAATATCTCATGTCATATAATCAAGAAAAATAATAAATGATGATAATATGCTTATATTATTTAATATTATATATTAATACAAATCAATATTTTAAATTATTAAAAAAGTTGTCAAATAAAAAATATTTAATTAAATTGATTTTTGAAAAATTAACTTAATTGATTAACAAAATTATTAATTAATTATTATTATACTCAATTTTAATTAGTTAATTAGTTCAATAATATATATTTTCAAAATGACAAATTTTGATAAAATAATACATATAAAATTAAGAATTATTAAAAAATTATAACTTATAATTCAAATGAAATTAGATTAAATAATTATTATTTGACCTAATTTTTTATATAATCTTTCTTTATTAAACTATAAGACTTGGCATGAAAAAGATAAAATGAATGGAACTTGCTATTTTTCACTATACTTATATTCTTAACATATTATAAATACTTGTTTAAAGAACACTGTACCTAACTACTGGCTTCTGGTAGTGATTTAGCATTTTCCTGCACTTACAAAGCTTTCGCGGGTCTCGACACTCACATACTCATGATTAAATTACAGGTAACCCGAACAAGGCTATTTATAGGACTGAATCTATAAGCTCTTATAGCATGATACAATTTCCCGAAATACTGTTACACTAAAGTTTAGAGCCAACAACAAGGGCTTTATTCACATTGAGCTAAACCAAAGGAAATGTCAAATAACAACTCTCTCAGATTGACAAATGACAGACCAAAGGCCGCACGACCTAGGAGGGAATCGAACCCTCACCACAAACAGATCAAAGACCAGAAGAATACCACCCAGTGGCTAGGCCATAACAAAAAGAGATAAAGAAAAAATACTGACAAGAAAAACCTGGAGTGTAAAGAACGTGAGTAAACAAAAAGATCTCAGCGTTACCAATCAAAATCTACCCCAAATTTTGATGTCATAACAAAGTCACGTTTTTTCATTTTTTCATTTTCCGTTCATTGATGTAGATCACTCAATACTATCACTATCAATCTTATCGTGACTGAAAACGTGACAAATTGATTTATGCTCTGAGTTTCGGGAATAACTTGTACGCATTTTCCGTAGTTATTTCAATCTATAATTTTTTTTGGATATAATGCGAAAAATCAGACTCCACTCGCCAAGTTGTATTTTATATCATATAGAAAATGACTCACCACTTGATTCACATCAACTTCTTTGATCCTAGCAATTTCATGTGCGCTAAACACAATATTTGCCGGTTCATTATCAAGACCAGGTTCAGGTCCGAGCACAGGAGAATCAGTTTCCAGTAATAAATTAGATAGTGGTAAAGCGGAGACTAGGCTCTGTTTTTGTTTTGAATGGATAATTGATGGCGGGACTGAAAAGTAATATCTGAAATACAATAAATCAATCAAATCAGTCAAAAATCTTGGACACAAAGCAAAAACATAATCACTTACCCCATTTCTACACCACGTTTCGCATACTTTACTTGACCATCAAATGCATGCATTACCACCTTTTTTGCACCAACTTTTGATAACAAGTCCAAAACATGATGCCCCGCGGACCGAGAATGCACGTTCAATGGCAGATCATATGAAATTGATAACTCTGTTTGTCGTGTCAGCACCTGTCGTTGTGTTTCTTTTAGATCGTCGATTGTTTTATTGGGATTTTGTGCAAGTGCGTTCGAGAATACATGGGGCGAGTAATCGAGGCCAACTTTTTATTAATTTGTGATATGATCGTTTATATGTATAAATTTAATTATCTCTCAATAATATCATAAGGATAATGACAATGTTAATGTAATAATTACAACCTTCACCGATTCCAACCAGATCTTGTGAATTCTCCCTGATAAATTGAAGTATGCCATCAACTTGACTCACATTCATCACACTCTTGCTCGCGCTGCCATCATAGAAACCTGGTTGTACAGGATGAAGTCCAGCACACGGTGCTATCATTTCACTTAATTCCAATGATGGTAAAATTTCTTTTTCTTCATCATCGTTTTTTACTTTACTATTAATATGATTGTTATCATCATTAATTACATTTGAACCATATGAAAAATATCCATTATTCTTTGACATCATCAAAATTTCTTTCGCTTCGTCAAGTATCTCCGAAACACACACAATTTTGCGCACGTTCGCGTGCTTACGAGCGCGCGTTAGTATTGAGGAAATTGATTTTTCGGGGAACGAGCTTTTGTAAATGTGTGCGTGGACATCTATTATATGAGAATTGCTGTTAGTTGGTATATTTTGAGCAGACATTTTTCTTTCTTTTCCTTAATTTTTTCCTTAAATTTTTTGACATCGCTATCTAATAAATAATTTATTTTATTTTGCACGTGACATTAGAGCAAAGATCATTGCTTAATCCGTCAAATTATAGAAGTATCGATATACATGTAAATAAGTATCGAAATATCAAAATATCAAACAACAATCGGAATCTCAGCATAAACTATTTTCTTGTCATTACTATTCTGATTCTGATTATTCTGATTCTGATTATTATCACTTCCACTTTGATCTTTTCTCCTTCCTCGTGTGCCGAACAATCCAGCGCCATATTGTTCTTTCAGACCTAGTGGTATATCCGTCCTCGTATGCAACGGGATACTTCTCGCACGGAACCAACCCATCCGAAATGCGAATTCATTAGCACAAATCTCCCCAAGACCCAACATCACACCGTTAATAAACGGGAAAAGAAAATTGGCGGTTAGAGTCGACATGAATGCAATGAACCTTGGGCGACGATAAATCGGAACAACTTTGTTCTCATCGGTTGGTGGCGGTACGGCCGCGGTATCAGAATTAGCGGTGGTATTCATGTGAGGAACACGACTAGAAATGATAGTAGGATTATTATTATTGTCTCGTGATAATATTGTCCCTCCTTCTCCGTTATTATTAAAGCGACGTTGGAGCAGTAAAGGATGATTTTCTAGAGTGGGATTGAATAATTGGGTGGAAGAGAGAAGAGGTGAGCTGTGTGATGAAGAGGAATTCTCGTTATTGTTTAATGAGGGAGGACTAACTAAACTTGTAGAAATGTCACTGTCTGCTGAAGTGTTTAAAACAACATATGAAATGTCTTCGCTATTGTGTGGCGAATTATTCGACATTCTTTTAGAATTGTAGAGAAAATAAATGTAAACTCTAACATATACTAACCAATTTTGAATGTGCGAGTGTAAAGTTCACCAGACTTCTAAATATGAACGCGTAGATCGACCAATGAAAGAAAAAGTTTCGAATTATCTATCACTATTTCGAGAAAAGTAAATATGTTTAATTCCATGATTCGAAACAAGACGCGACTTTTTAAGACTTTTTTGATACATACCGAAACCAACAGCTTTAATAGTATAAACAATGGCAGAAGTAACATGTGTTCTAATAACATTAATAATAATACTGGAACACTTGTCAGTGGTCGACATTCTTCCTCCCTTATCTTACCAGTTATCAACAGCAAAAATAACAACTACTACAACAAGGTGGTGATTAGAAAAAAGTCAGTGGTGGTGTCCATTGCATCTTATTAGGGCTTTTGGTGAAGAGGCAAACAAATTTGGACTGCACAAACAATTTAATAACATTCATTTCCCTCAATAAAGATGACTTTACAAAAACGAACATATTCGTCGAAAAAAAAGGCGAAAAAAAGTCCATCGGGAAGTCTTACGCTTGCCGAGGCAATGGCTGTTATCAGGGTAAATACGTATAATATTATATCTTTATTTACATTGAGTATATATGTTATGGTATATGTGTGTGTTTTCAGGCATTAGAAGTCGGCAAACATCATGTACACTCGTACGAACTACATATCAAATGCAAACTAGACAAAGGCGCGATACCGATACGTGGATCCGTGCTCTTGCCTACGCCTTTAATTAAAAGCACGTCGATTCTGGTGTTCGCATCTGGTCCGTTGGTGAATGAGGCGAAAAATGCAGGTGCTAGTTTGGTGGGCGGAGAGGAATTGATTGACGATGTGAGTTTTGGTCTTATCGTAGGCTTGGTGATAATCAATTCAATTTGATGTATAATAAGAGAGATTAATTGATTTTTAAGATTGCAAAAGGACATCAAAAACTCGATAAATTTGACAAGGCTTTTTCCACTGTCGATATTTATCCGTCGGTTAAGTCTATTGCTAGGACATTGGGTCCAAAAGGATTAATGCCGATGGAGAAGAGAGGTAATTTAACGATTTACTATATCATGTTTCATCAAGTTCTTATATCAATGGACTGATCCATGAATTGGGAAAAACAATTATCCATTAATAAAAAGGCACGGTCACAAACGATCTCGTAAAAGCTATAAAAGACTCCATTGGTAAATTCGAGTTCAAAGCGGATAAACAAGGTGTTATTCATACTGGTGAATTTAAATTTTTTCTTTATTTTTTCTATATCGAATTTTATGTGCTTAGAATGAAAATTAATTTATTAAATTTCGGTCGAATAATGACAGGTATCGGTAAAGTAAGTCATATATTATATATTAATTACCAAACTATCTATTAATTTTTTTCAAAATAAAAAGTTGTCACTTACAGAAGAGCAATTACAAGGTAAAAAATAAGCAAACAACTAAATAGATAATGTTAAAATAATAATTATTATAACAAAAATTAATTACGTAATGAAATAACTAGGTAACATTCTAGCACTCTTACAAGAAATCCGAGATATTTATAAACTCGGCAATTACAAAGGTAAAAATAAATGACTTTTTTCTTTAAAACAAACAAAGAGTCTTATTAAACAATTTTATTTTTCATAAATTAGGAAAAACAATTGAAGAAGTCGTACTGAATTCCACACGTGGACCTGGAATCCCACTAAACAATGTCCTGACAATGTTGGATAAACTAGAAGAGGAACGAAATCTATTGGAGATGCCTGTAACTGGTGGTAATTATAGTAGAAACAACCCTCTGCCGACGTCGGCTCCTCCAGGTTACTCTGGCGGTGGTTCTAGAACAAGGATAAGTGGTACTGCTGCAAGTTCTAGTTTTGATAATCGTTATCCGGGTATTGGTCTTGGTGGAAAGTTGCATTACAACAATAATAATAAAAATATGGTGCTGGAAATCTAAACTCAAAAATTTGTTTCAAATTGCTGTATTCAATGTAAAACAGTATATCATATGAAATAGTAAAGTGCACATAATATGCTTTTTTACATTACATGTGGTAGGTTCAATTCAAATAGCTATTAGAACTGAAAGAAAAAAATTAAGTGAAAATGATCTGGTTATATTATGATTAGGTCAATATTATTGTCATTTTTCAAGTGAAGGAAAAGATATCTGAACAAAAAGCAAATATAAATTAAATTAGATAATTAAAAATTCTCAGCTAATCAAAAAAATCAGGAAAAAAAAGAGATAAGCTTCCCATTAACTGGAAATCATCTGATTAATATTTTTATTCTTATTTAATATTTTTTAAATATATACTGACCTATGATAAATCATCGTGCATATAAAAAGTTTGATAGTAAAATCTAGTAAAGATTGAAAGTTTCATTCTGTAAAAAAGTTTTTATTTAATTAATTAATATTTTTTGTTTTCATATTCAAATAAGGCTAAGAATTTATATTTCAATATATATTTTTTGTGGATTTTTTAGATTTTATTTCATGAATTCTTATTGTAAAATATCTACAAAAAATTTTTTATAATTAAGTTTAAATTTTAATTATGAAAAATTTTTGCGGATATTTTACAATCAGAAGAATTTCATTAAATAAAATCTAAAAAAATCTATAAAAAATATATATTGAAATATTTTTTACTAGATTTTACTATCAAAATTTTTATATGTACAGTGATTTATTATAGATTAGTATATAATATGTAAAATATATAAATTAAATAAAAAAAATAATATAATTAATTAAAACTATTGTTATAATATAAATATTTAGTTATTATTTTATTGATTAATTTATATTATAATTTAATTAAATATTAGCTAAATAGAATTTTATTTGTCAATATTTTTAAATAATGAAATGAATACAGTAATTATAACAAAATTAGTATAATAATTATAACAAAATTAATATAATGATTACAACAAAACAGTATAACAATTTTATTACACAAAGTTTAAGTATTAGAAATAATAAATTACAGTCAAATCTCTTTATAGTTATCACTATTTAAAAATCAGATAATCATAAAAAGATGTAACTATAAAGGAATTTTATGTTAATTAATATTAAAATTGAAATTATAATAATTTAATCAGAATTATTATATTTTGATCAAATTTATCATAATTTAATTAAACTTATTATAATTTAATTATAGCAAAATTTTATAAATAAATAAATATTAATTTTGTAATAATAATTAATTTTTTCTTAATAATATAAATTTATATTAAATTAAATTTTTACAAATGAATAATTTTTGATAATATAATTAAATTTATATGTTTTTAATAATACAAAATATTATATAACTTTTATTAATTAATATTTAAAATTAAAAAGTTTTTTTAATTAAAATAGAAAAATTTTTAACTTTTTATAAGTAAAGTCAAAAATAGTATAAATAATAAACTTTATAATATTAAATAAAAAAAGTTAATATTAATTATCACTTTTTAGTTTCAATTTTTATATTGATTTTTGAGAAAAATAAAAAATAGAAAAAATAGCATTTTTTTATCATTATACAAATAATTTACATAAATTATTAATATAAATATTAATATTATATAATAATTACATTTATTTATTATTTAATTAATATAATTAAATAATTAATATAACTATTTATAAAAATAAAAAAAATATTAATTGATTTTTGTTTTATATATTTTATAATTTTTTGTTTTATATATTTTCAAAATATTATTTAATTATCTTTGTTAATTTCTTCATTATTATCAGATTATTATTTACAAAAATTAAAAAATAATTGAAATTTATTTAATATTTGTTTAAATATAACAATTAATACTGGTAATATTTTATTATTATTTTCATTATTTTCAAAATTATTTGATTTTTGAATTATTTTAATAATTTTATTTTTAATTAAAAAACTTTTAGTAATAATTGATAATAGTTAATATTTAAAATAAATATTCAAAAAATTATATTGATTTAAAAAATATTTTTAATACTATTATAAATCAAAATATTCTTATTATTATTATTATTATTATTATTATTATTATTATAATTTATTCTTTTATTATTTTTATATGATATTTTGATATATATTATAATATTCAGTAACATATAATAATATTCTATAACATATTATAATAAAATATAATAAAATGTAAAGAATATAATATGCATAATAAAATAATTAGTTATATAATAAAGAATTTTATCTCTCAAATAAATCATCAATTAATTACTACAAAATCTAGCTAGTTAATAAACTATTTTTTGTTTTTTGTTAATAAATATTATATATTTATTGATTTTAATAAATAAACTTATATTATAATATTTGCATTAATTGTACACTATTGAATATCAATCAAAATTGCTAAAGAATATTAGTACTGTATTATTTTAGAATTATCTCATACTAAGTAAATATCATAATTTATTAATAATAATAATAGCTTATCTCAAAACTAAAAAAAAATATACAATATAATGTTTCTAGAATAATTAAAGTCACTGAGATTGAGTATAATATAAGAAGAAACTAAACTAGATGTTGGTTAAATATCCATATTACAATAATATCCACCAGAAGCTTTGCTCATGATATATACTTTAAACAAATAAAAAGATTCTTGCACATTTCTTCTCCCTTCTTAATAATTATAAATTATTTTAAAAAAATAAAGTTATTGCTTTTATACATTTAGTATAGTATTCCTATAAATTAAATTAAATCAAATTTTTATTTGAATTCAAGTTCAGTTCAAAATTCAAACTGAACTCAAATTAGACTTTGACTTGAGTTCAAGAAAGATTTAAAGTTCAAATTAAACTCAAATTAAATCATTATATGAGTTTGAATTTGGTTCAAATTTGATTAAAGATTAATATATAATATCATATACTGATTTGTAGTTCTAAATATAAATTATAATT